CAAAGTTTTAAAAAATAAAATACAATAACAATAACAATAATATCACAAATGCACTGTTTGATTCAAGACAATTACTGCCTTGGAAAAGAAACTGTTTCTCAATCTATTAGTCGTCATTTTAAGACACCTATAAACGCCTCCCTGATGGTAACAGATCAAAATATGAATGTCGAGGATGAGAACAGTCTGTGGAGATTTTTAGTGCTCTAGGGAGCACTAAAGCTCTGCAGTTCTGAAGCTATGTTGAGCTCTGAGTCTATCTATTGGAAATGAAACTGCTTCTCTCCTCTTGCTTGCCTGCTGAACTAAAGTAAAAGAGAAACCAACTTGCTTGCTGAAGACTGGAGCTCTGCTCTGAACTTGCAACATGTTTCTGCTTGAGTTTGCTCCATGTTGGAGAAATCTACAACTGGTTTGTAAAATCTACTTATTATGTTTATAAAGATGTTAAATGAAGCATCGGCCAACTGTGTTTATTTTTCTGGTGCTGAATTAACGCTGCAAAACTCTGAATACTCATCCATACTAAAAACAATCCATTCATTTGCATTTACAGAAGTGTATATAAGAAAAAAAGTGCTATATTATTTTTTAATAACCTGATTGGAATTTCAGCATCACATTGCATAGATTTATTATATCACCACTTCACTACCACTAAGGCCATCAAGCTGAACAAAAGTGATTACATCCGTGGTTCTCCTTGTTTCAGACCCTGGCTATTGGCATATTATTTCCTCAAAATGCCTTACATTCTTTCATTGCCTGATGTAACGCTTCATCAAATCTCAACCGCAAGTTGGCACGTGAAGAACAGAAGCCTGAGAATGCAGCAGGCATATGTGTGACAGTGATATGTGATGTACAAGAAAGAATCAAGAGCATGATACATGTTCAGTTACAATGAAATTTGATCCTCAGGCGACAGAGAAATGCCTGTTTCCTTGCTTGAGCACAGATTTTCATGTCTTATTTCCCCAAGGAAGACCTGTCAATTTCTAAATAGGAATCCTCCAGCAGCACCCTGTGGGACAAGCAGCTGCAGCCAGTAGTAAAACCAGCCCAACTCCAACAAGGCCTCTAGAAATGTCTTGCAAGGAGAGGAACATATCTTAGCCCAACTTCCTAAGGACTTCAGTATTTGTTTAACAGCAATACAAGTGTCTGGACAATCACACAAACAACCATGGCTTCTCACCATTTGTTTCCATGACTTTAGGAAACATCTAAATCAGACTTTAACTGCAACCGAGATGAAGCATGAATGGCATCAGAAAAAGATTGCCCCTTTCTGACAGTGAAAACTGCTTAGTAGCCATTGCAGGGCACATAAGTGGTTCATTTAAAAATAAAAATGCAACTTTTATTAGAATTCTGTTAGTGCTGTCTCAAGGCCTATGTAGTCCCACATCCTTCCCCCCACCCCATTATGAATAGCTATAATCTGTACGCCAAAGGTGAAATTCATAAGAAAGATCTTGTTCATATTCCCTGATAACTGATATACAGCAACCTAGTTAAAACAATCTCTTAATACACATTATGGTTTGCTGATTTGTGGCTGGTATCGTAAATGAAATCACTTAAAAAAATTGGAATGAATTCTTACAGAAGTTTACTGTGGTATATGAACCAGGTGCTTGGATACTGAAAATAATATGCTATGTTCATGTTTAATAGCATTCATAGCCTCAACTTTAGAAACATCCAAATTGGTCAACATCACTATATTTTAGTTTGATTATGGGCTGTGGTAAAAGTTATTTTCTTTTATTTGTCCTGAATTTTCCATTGCGCTTCATCAGAATCTACAATGTATTATAAGTAAACCTTATCAATGTACTCCGCTATGCATAATTTGATACAGCTTTATTGCATATTTCCTTTCTAAGATAGTGTTCATTTATTTGCCATGGTAAGATGCCGATTTATACTAACAAATGCTATCCGTGCTTCCTATTCAATAAACAGTCCTGTGGTAGGAGGGAGGGGGAAAACAAGTATATGTCTTCCATTTGTTTAAAGGAGTTTATTAACATCACAAAACTAAAAACATTTCTTTTAGAAATGTTAAAAGCTACAATGTGTGGACTCAACAATGTCCATCTGAACCAGTGTGTCTCAACCTGGATACTCATCCAGAGACATTCAAAATTGGTAAACCCTTAAAAAATTAATTTCAACTTTATTGCCTTTATTACTTCTTCATGTCTAAACAGTTGAGAAAGCCTAATCTCACTTCTTGCTGCCATCCTTCATTTTTATAGTGCACTCACTGTATCCTTCCATGGTAATTGCAGAGATTTGTCACATCTGAGCATACTCTCCTTATCCATTATATACAGCTTCTAAATGTCTTTGTAGGGGTGGAGGAAAGAAAAAAGGAAATCAATTTAACTCTTTATGACACCTTGCTTTTTCAAGGTTATTTCCTGCTCCTTAAGAGCAAACTTATTATTTGGAATAATGTTTCAAACTACCACCAGTACAGAGAAGAAATTCTTTAAACAGGACTGGGCTATACTGTAGTTAAAGTGGTGCTTTGATTACATAAGATCCACAGTATTCAAACCAAACCCAAAACAAAATAAATAAATCCCAGGGAATAAAATAAACTGCAAACAGCAATTCTGAATGGATTGTACTGAATTTATATTAAATTGAATTTATATATTAAATTGAACTTATATTAATCATTTGCAAATTATAATTCTTAAATCTTGTGACTCAAGGGGTTAGAAATATCTGTTTTCAGAGGGAAGGGGGAAAATTGTCCAACTATGAAGGTTATGGTTGGAAGTTACACAACTATATGTCAGTAATGGGATTCAATTTTTTTTTTACTACCAGTTCGGTGGGCATGGCAGGGGAAGGATACAGTAAAATCTCCAGTCAGAGGTGGTATTTGCCGGTTCTCCAAACTACTCAAAATTTCTGCTACCGGTTCTCCAGAACTGGTCAGAATCTGCTGAATACCACCTCTGCTATATGTATAAAAATATAGCACTCAATAAACTAGAAACCTACATTTTTCAGGAACAAAAATAATCTTGTTATGAGAGGCCCTTGGTGCTCTCTGAACTTGCTTGTTTTCTTGCAGACATTTCATTACCCTAACTAGATAGTATCATCAGTACTAGTAAGGAGCCCAAAATAGAACAAAATGACTCCAGCACTCCTTCACCAGTAATCAGCACTCAGATTAGCATCCATTAACTTCAAGGTTAACTTCAGACCACCAATCAAGTAAGCAATACCCCAATCAAGAAACTGCCAAAGAGCATTCAGTAAACAATCCAACAAAAGAATCTCTTAAGTCCACACCCACCCAGACAGACAGACAAGGCAACAGAATATATACTAGCAGCAAACAGCACTCCTTACTAGCACTGATGATGTTACCTAGTTAAGGTAATGAAACCTCTGCAAAAAAAACAAGCAAGCTCAGAGGGAACCAAGGATCCCTCATTTCAACCCTCAGCTACAAATATTCCCTTTTAAATCTTGTTATCCCAGAAATAACACAATATGGTAGAATGTCGAATATATTATTAATACATAGAAATGTCTGAACTGTGTTTTTAAGTGCAATTATACAGTCACTTGCCTGGGAGTAAACTTCACTGAATAGAATGAGACTGATGACTACATATAAAAATGCTGTATGTTAAATCTTTGATGAAAATTAGAAAAGAAACTTCTTTATCAAGATAAAGGATATAACCATCAAAATCTCAAATCTTGACCCTCCAAGTTCTGGTTAGCTAGCACTGATTTTCTGCCTCAGTAGAATTGAATCTGCTCTGATGCATGCTATTTAAAGTTAATAAACTTATTTAAGGTGCCTTGCCAAGGAAAAAAACAAAACCAAACTTGCTTTCTGAAACTAAATGGATTTCCTGATTTTGCAAGAGCCTGGATTACATTGCATCCCTTGGAGAAATTTAAATGTCCCCAGTTTTAGTGCAAATATCCCTTGAATATACTTCTCAGCAACACTGATTTTCAAGTGATCATCCCATATGGAACTTACCTATTTTATTTATAAAATGATTTCACAGGTTTTGCAATATGTAAACACACACACACACACTCCACTTTGAATAACCTTCAAAAGCTCTCCAAGGAGGAATTTTGCCTGTTTGTCTGTATACACAGACACTGATGCAAATAAACTTCTCACAAAACATTGTAATAATTTGTCTTGATTTCCTTAGTGGTGGTGGTACTGAGTTATTAGCAGAACCAGGATGAAAAAAATCTTGAGTTTTCCAGGTGGCTAACCCTTTAATTATGAAGTAAAAAACTTATGTTTTGAAACTAAGTTATAAGGGTGTTGGGTTAGTAAGTGTTGCAAAAATAAAGCCCACAAATCTTATAATAGGAAAGTTATGGGATAAGAAGATAATAATTAGAAAATAATTTTCTCTACCTCAGTTAGATACACACTAGCAAGTTCACGTTACTCTGTTTGGTGGAGGAATTAGTAAGTTATCCCCACCTGCTTGAAAAAAACTGTCTAAATGTTGATATCATGGCACTCTGTATAAGCCTTTTATTAACTTAGCTTCTGCAATATTCTTTTCCTGTCAAAAAGTAAATGTTTTACTCCAGGGGAGAAATGAAATGTGATGATTATCAACAATACAGTCATGGAAATATCAGTGTTTTGTGGTATTGCTCCTAGACATTGATGAAAAAAAATGGAGGATGGGTAATGGTGCAGAAAAATTAATTCATTTTCAGCCGATGAGAATCTTGCCTTCCCTTTCGAGCATGAAGGGAAAAAGCCATGCCACAAGCCATGCAGTACAGGTGACATGCAGATTTTAAAAATCATATCTGACACAGTTAGTAAAACAAAAACCAAACTCCTTTTCCAATGCGAGTAGTATATTTGCTCTTGGGTGCTTTTGGTAGCCAAATGGCAGCTAAATGGCAGTACAGAAAAAAAAATCTGTCAAGATTCCACAGCAAGTCCAGTTGATACGGCTACCTACCCGTACTGGTCAGGCTGATGCATCATGGGACCCTGAGCGTTGCCATAGTTGGGGTGCTGTGAAGAAAACATGGGGCGTCCGCCAGCCCCAGACTGGCTGGGATAAGCAGGCGACCGAATGTATGGTGGCCTAAAGCAGAACAAAAGAACAACTTCTTTGGATTTGTATTGGACTACAAGCTTGGACCTGATGGCAGGATTCTTCTTGTTTGGAAAACAGCCATATTCTTTTTCTTACTCTCTGGCAATAAGGAGAAAAATGTGGTTCTTCCATAGCCTTAAATGATGGGGTTCATCTCATACTCCCTACAGATGTCTGTAGAGATTCTTGGTCATCCAGGTTATCGTTGTCCCAAGGGTGCTTTTTCAGGAGGCAACTGGACTTCCTTTTTTTTTTTCTTGGAAGACATTTCCCTTCTCATCCAAGAAGCTTTTTCAGCTCTGACAGGATAGTGGGGAATGGAAGGATTTTTCTGCAAGGAATATAAATCTAGTTGCCTCCTGAAAACTCCCTACAGATGTTTTCTTTTGTAATAAAAGTATAGTAATGCCTTAGTCTTTCTACAGGTAAAGAGTAAAAGAGGAGGAGATGAAAACAATACGAAGTACCGTATCATAGAAAATAGAAACTGAAAAGAAAATTCTAAAAAAAAAAAAATGGAGTTGCAAGATGCCTCATTTATGAACCTAAATGCTACATATATCTTACATTAATTATAATTATTTATATCACAAATGATGCTGTGAAATGCAACACTTGATTTTACTGCAAATGGCCTTCTTTTAAAATTAAGAGTTATTTTTGTTTTTTACATCTAGTTTTCACTTCTGAAAAATATGGATTGTTCAAAGCAAAAAAAAAAAGAACACTAAACCCACTGGCCTGCTAAATTGCACAGGCTTTCAGTTATTTTTATAAAACTGTTGGTTTTACATATTAAGAGCAGACATTAACAAAAACTAAATTGCGCTTTTATAAATTATATTCCTCACAGTTCAAACAAGATATACATTCTTAAAGTAATAAAATAAAGGTCAAGCATTCTAATAAAATATTCTTACCCTTTCTGGTAGTAATGGGATTATCTGCATTTTGAGCACTTACTGGTAATGTATATGTAATGCAATGAATGCTTTTTTAAAAAAAAATGAATATCTAATGTTTATACTTTTTCAAGTATTATAAATATGCATGCTGTTTTATATGCATGCATTAAATATACAGATGCATATAATAGTAACACTGTTTTGCAAAGTAATCATGAAATTCATTTTTCTCTTAATGATATTTTTACTATTAACACAGTGAAACCAAAAGATACAACCAAGAACATGAATTCATTTGCAATAGGTGCCTCTGGGGGAAGGACAGCATTTGCAAACACAGTCTTTGCATTTTTGTAGATCTTAACAAACTTCAATTCAATTAACAGTTTAAGGGTCTGAAAATATTATTCCAGAAGGAGGACGCTGTGGTTATTGGACCTAGAAATAGAATAGATGACTTGAGTTTCCTTATTCTAAAATGTCCAGAGAACTTGAGTCTAGATGCTGGACCCACTTTGTTACTCAGGATGGCAGATGCCAATCAGATATTCTGATTAATTTACAAAGGTTGGTTGTATTGACAATGGCTTAAGTTCCTTTGCCAACGGCTGCATATAAATGTTCTGAAAGCCTAAGATATCTTGCTTATCTTTCCAGTAATGCTGCCTTTTTCTACAATTTATCTGATCACCTTTCCCAACAATTTATTGTACCACTTGCGTAGACTTAAATGTATTCTTTCAGAGGCTAAATGCAGGCAGTTTATGTCTTAAATTTAAATGGTGGGATTTCCACCTCTATGTATTTTTTGTTTTCTGAGAGAAAGCATGCTGTAAAACCTCCAATATTCAATCCTTGTCATTTTGGTTTGGTTCAGCCCATTCTACTCTTCTCTTTCTTTTACACACAAATGCGTTTTACTTAGCATGGACATTGTTAATGTTTTCAGATCCTTCCCCTTGGAAGCGTACCTGCTCTGGGCGGAGTTGGCAGCAGCTTGCATCACTGCTGCAGCTGCCTCCTGGGCCTTACGGTTCACAGTTGGCATGGGTGGTCCCATCCCGGGGCCTCCTTGCTGAGCCATGCCCGGAGAACTGGGTGTCATACTGCTCATATTTCCAGGAAACGGTCTGCTTTGCATCCCAGTTGATGGCATTCGTCCCAAGGGAATGGTACCACAAGGCTGGCCTGGACCCTGTCCGTGCATCTGGTTGCTGGCATTTATACCCATACCAGGTCCTGGTCCACTGTAACCTGCGTTGGTCACTCCAGAGTATGTTGGCTGTCTGGAGTAGTTCCCTAAACAAAACAATATAGAAGAGGAAAATAAAGTTACTAGTTCTGAATCTATGGAATGAGACCACTGGAAAAAGCTGTGTGCATTAAAATGATTTAAGTAGGGCAAAATATGTCTAAGTATTCTTAACTAGTATCCAGTATCTTCAGGCATTAGCATTTGCTGGATCTATATTTCTTGAAATTATGTGCCTGCATCAATAGGGATATATAGCAAACATGGAAAGCCTGGTAGACGAATGTGAACAAAGGCAATAGCAATAGCACTTTGACTTATATACTGTTTCACAGTGCTTTACAGCCCTAAGTAGTTTACAGAGTGCGTTTATTGCCCTCAACAATCTAGGCCCTCACTTTACCTTCGGAAGGATGGAAGGCTGAGTTAACCTTGAGCTGGTGAGAAAGCAGGCCACGGAGGAAACAGTGGCTGCCTTGTTAATCATCTTGCAGTAGCCAGAGCCACAGAGTGGAAAATGCAGAAGTAGCAACAGAATGACACAAAGGGAGAACTCACAATGATCTTCTAACTGGCCTGGAACAAAGTGGCTCCTTCTCCTTGTTCTTTTCCTTTTTTTTAAAAAAGATTCCACTGAGGAAGCCTCCCACAATGATTATACCCCTTCATACAATTCTACTTAGTGTAAGAAATAGAGAGCAGAACAAGTGTGGTAACTCATCTTATTATATAATTTAGTTTTGCTTTTTAATAAGACATCTAGGCTGTTGGGTAGCTTCCTACATTGACTGATAATGGGACCAGAATGCCCCATGCTTAAACATAATAGCTCCCTTCTGTCCTTTAAAAAGGAATCAAACAACATTAAACATTTGGTTTCAGAAGGCAACGATACACCTATGATTGCCCATTGGGTTCTCACACGTGCAACATTTATTTAATCTATAGACAGTCTGCCCCATCCCAAATGAGTCTGGGCTGCTTTACAACATTAAACAAACAATAAATACCAAACAAGCTCTAGTGACTAATTCTTTGAATTAGAAACTACACTTTGCTATTTGCACCAAGTTTACAATTGTCTATTAAGAATCAGGTTTTACTCTGCACAATTGTGTTTGTTGAAAGCAACAAAAACATTTCTATGTGTATCAAAGGTCTAACTTTTGTCTTGGCTGTTCCTGATGTGGCATTTCACCTTAAGAATGTCCTATATAACTGCAAAGTCACTGTATAGCAGCGATGAGGAAACTTGGGAAGAACAGTACACACTAACAGATCTTGTAAGCCTTTCATTCCCTAATCCTTGTTTACATAACTTTTAACCAAAAACTGCATTCAAACTGACATAATAATTAAAACAGATATCTAATATGACAACAAATTTGGAGGCTGCAAGTATGTTTTCTAAATACAAAAGCTTCTGCTAAATAAAAGCCAGGATATCAGTAATGTGATAAATATTTCAGGTGAAAAAAAAGGTAGACTTCTTTCAACACCTAAATAATTGCCAACAATAAATGAGAGAGAAAGCCAAGAAAGAAAAGTACAAATTTTCCTGTTTTTCTAATAGTTTCATAATTTGCTGGCAGTGGCTTTGACAGCAAGCAGATGGATGCACCATTAGATTCAATGAATGGAGCAGATGCTGAGCTAGTCCCCATCAGCTGGGATATCAGGCAGCCAAGTGCAAAAAAACCCCACACTTTTTAAGTGAGTATTCTTTGGCACAGCAGCCTTGGAACGTTAATAAGCAGCCTATTCTTTCTTCAACCAATGGAGCTCATTTCAGCTAATTAGAATGAAATCCAGAGGCATTGGAGTCTCATATGGAGGACGAAACTGCTTAGCACTGGAGCTTTCATGTATAAGGAAGCCAAAATACAGGTAAGAAAAACATTAACATTCTCTTATAAACAAAATTTCAAAATAAAAAAAGGGAGTTTAAAACTTTGTTTTGGCTTGATGTGTTTATTCCTAGGTGGCTCACTTTAAATTGGCTTTGCAGAATTTTGCATTGAGGTCCAAATTAAGAAACATTGTAACTCCAGTTTGATTTCAAGCTGTTTCAGCACCCCAACCTTTTAAAACCTTTCATTGCCTTTTTCATGATTATATCTGGCAAATAATTAGCTATATTAAATATACACCAATAGGGTAGGTTAACAAAATCTTTTTGCAAGTCCCTTTGGGCAAAATCTGTTTCCTTATCTATGTAGCGCATGCTCAAGTTTAGGTGCTAAAATAATAAAAATTATTCCCAATATCAAACAAATTAGAAAACTGACTTTATTTCTGTAAAAGTTTTTCTACACAGATTCTAGGTAATTTACTTGTTATGTACTAAGTAATAGTTAATTACACACTCCATTTGCCAATGAACTTTCACCTTACAAGTTAAAATAAAAAACCAGTACTTTCATACACATACCAACTTAGAAATGAGGCATGAGTTTTTAAAATTTAGCCCAATAAAAATTGCAAAGTATTTCTTGTCTAGCACCTGCTCATAACTTCTGGCTGCCAGAACATTGTATTTGAACTGATAAAGGGACTATATTATTCAAGTACTGGGTTTACTATGCAACAATAACAATGTTCCTGAAAGTGGTGTTTCACTTCTTATTCACTCTTTAAAGTTACCAGTGCTTCAAAAGTTATGAATTAAAACCATGGAAATGAATGTTTTTTATGTTTCTCATTCTTGCCTGAAGCCCAGATATTAGAGCGGCACGTGCAGTATAAAGTGAGCCTGTGCTGATGTGTGTGGAATGGTGAAAGATGATGCTTTCAGAATTCAATAAAAAAACAGAAGCTAAGGAATATGATTAATTGCAACGGGCTGTTTTCTTCAACGCTAGCCTCTATTCTAAAACTAAGTAATCAACCATTTGTATTATTTAGGATTTTAAAACTGAGCTGAATTCTACAAATCAAATCAAAGAAATTCGAGTTGCACAATGGCTGCCACTCAGCAGAGGAGACCCATTTCACAATTCTGAAATATCACAGCACAGATATTACCTGGCAGGATTATAATCAGAAAGTAATCATTTTTGGCTTGATTCCAAATCAATTATAGGAACTAAACACTACAGATTTATAGTGGAGAACTTTTAAAAAATACAACGGCAGAATTGTAGAGGGTTGCTTGTGTATTTTATTATAATGATCTACTTTTATTTAGTTTTTTTTCAACATAAAAGTATTTGGTTTTTGATACCATCAACCATGATACATCCTTCAGGATCAGCTCAGAAGGTTGCTAGTGGACAGCATGGTATTGTGCTGTTCATCTCCTTCCTTCAGACTTGATTTCAGTCAGTGGTGATAGGGAAGGAGAGGTCTTGCCCATGGCCTCTACAGGGTTTGGTGTTTTTTCCTTAACACTACATGAGGCCTCTGGGTGAGCTCATCCATCACCATGGGGTGAAGTATTGTCAGTATGCTGGTGATACCCAATTATATATCTCCACCCTGGAAAACTAAGTGATATCATGACCATCTTATTCTGGAACCTGAGTAACGGGAATAACTCCACTAGAGGAACTCTTTCACCCAAAATGTAAGCAACAAACAATGCATTTTTACTGTGATTTACTGTTTTTCACCCACAAATTCAATAGTTAGATAGCTCCATAGTGAGTTACTGAATAATGCAAACTGTTCCAGCTGTTTATATTTACAATATACAATAGTTTTGACTACTTGACAGCCGACTAAACTGTTTACTGCACGAAATATTTCTTTATTGGATTTGAAGGTTATTTACAATCCACTTGTGTAATTTGAATTCATTTTTATTCCACATATTTCTCTGGGATAGGAAACAAACAAACATTGGTCTAGTACAAATGCTATCCTGGCTGAACCTTTGCTGATGTACTGTTTTTCTTCCTCAATTGTTAGATGATTTGCTTCCTGGAAGCCAGTTCAAACCACCATCCAAACCTGTTTCAAAGTCTAATGTCTATTTTGAAATGCTGCAGTATTGCAATGTTCATTCTCCCCCATCAACATGAGATCTGGTTGAGAATCATAGAATTGCAATCCAACAATATTTGGGGATCTAAAACTAGAAACTACATTTTACCTATCAACATCTTCTATTACCAAGAAGAACATAAAATAAGGGCACTGAACAAAGGGCATGTCATGACAGGGAAACTGATGGTGTATGTTGAGGAATTTTAAGAATCCCCGTAGACTTTAAAATGACAACAGTATCACTATTGTCTTTTCCTATCGATAACTTTGATTTATCTGGAACTGAATCTTTACTTATGCGATTGAATCATCCATAATTGCAATTAACATTTTAAAAAAGCATTAAAACATCTTTTTAGGTAAAAGAATTTTGAAATGTATTCATTTTTATTTTATTTATCAAATTTCCATATGATCACTTCATCTAAGTGAGTCTGAGTGTTTAAAATGCAAACTAGCATACAAAAAAATATATTGACTAACAAACTTATTGTCAACTAAAAAGATACTCCTTTGGTCTTTTTAGTTGCTAGAAAAAGGGAGTGGGAGAAAACAAGGCATTCTTTTTTTTTTTTTTTTGTAAATTTTATTTGAGTTTTCACAAAAAAAAATACAAATAAAATATCTTTTTTGAAAGTAGCGCAATCCCGGGTTACATTTCTTCATACAGACACAAATTCAATTTCATGCTCATTTTTATGTTCTATTCCATATCTTATTACTGTTTTACATTTTCTACATAGCTTCTCCCCTCTTTTAATTTTCTCAATTTTATTTTAATTATCTCGTCTCAATCCAAATCATTATATTTATACTTTTTGTCTGTCCTGTTTCCATTTCATATTATCTTTTTTCATTAAACAAAGTTTCTCCTGTAGTTGCTGATTGGAGTATGACACCTTTATATCTTTTAAGTTTATCCATTTAACTCTTATTTAGGCTTCAATATATACCTTAAAGTTATAACATTCAATATAATACATAACTTCCATTCGGATTCTGCTTGGTACATTCTTAAAATACACACTATATTCTTAAAAAAAAAAGATTATAAATATAT